AAGGCTGAAGAAGCTTTCAAGAGAAGTCAAAATAAGTTTCCGAGAGGAATCGTAAATAGAAAATTCCAGGGGAAAGATGGAAGAAAACCCAGGAAGTTAAATAATGTTTAAAAAGTATTTCCCGATTCCCCCGAAATTACCAGAAAGAGCCATCGACTGTTTATCGATTCATGGGTAGCCAAAAACGGTGGGGAAATTGAAACATTAATCGAAAGAGTATCCATAAGACATTTTTGAACATGATTTTTTTTTTAGAATTTTAAAGACTCAAAAAAATTTAGATATTCAAAAAGATACAAGTTTCACACAAAATTTTTGATTTTGATTATTTATAAAATCGGTATATATCGGTATAACACCTCAAAAATCGGTATTCTGAGGAACCTTATCTGTATCTAGTTCAGAAATCGGTATAAATACCGATAAATCGGTATATCTGGCAACGCTGGGACACACCCCTCCACCATGAACAAGTCGTTCTATCGCGACTCCGAACCGGTGGAAACTAACAATTTCAAATTGGCTTACTACTTAACTAGCCTGTTGGTCCCAAGCAAATCGATTAACTTACCCCATTCAAGTTGAAATTGTAGTACTACACTATGTTTGTTTTGAATTGCTATGAAAGTTTGACAGATAAAATAAGGGGTTCGTGGATTTTCCTATGTTTCGAGGGGTGCATCGATTAGCTTGGGACCGAAGATAATACCAGAGCTGAGCCAAAAAGTTGAGCACGTTTCTTCGGGACATTCTTTTATTCATCGGGACGATTTTCTTTTCTTTAGATCAAGACGATGAAGTTTTGAAGAAGACAGCAATATTAACTATCTGGATCAACATATTATTGGGCCGTGATATATTCAGTGGAAATAAGTATCCGAGGAACTACTGAAGTTAATTAAACACTTTATTAATTAAGGATTAGCAACAACAATGCTCTCACTTGAATGGTGCTTTTACGAATGTAGAAAAAAGGGTAGGCGATGCTGTCGGTGTAGATAGAAAGCTTCATTCTTGACAGCACAGCTCTGATTGTAAGAGCATCTCGATCATTGCTCCTACCAATACATATGGCCATGATGACTCTTATTACCAATGTCACTTCACGGTGAAGTGACAACTTATCACTCACGGTGAAGTGATTCCCATTTGATTTACAAGGCAATCACTTCACCGTGAGTGACAACTGGTCAATTCACTTCGTTTTCACCGTGAAGTGATACCCGTAATAAGGCCCGATAGAGGAAAAGAGCATCATTTTATTTTCATAAAAACAACCATCATAACAGATTATCAAGAAAGCCTTTTAATTCTTCGGTGAAGCAATGGAAATATTTACATTATTTGACAAAACCCAGGTAATCATGACGTTTGATTATTGAAAACAATTTGAATGAAGAAAAGAGACCTACTGCTGTCATGATTACCTGAGATTTGTCAAATAATGTAAATATTTACACCGATTGCACCGAAGAATATAGGATTTCGGAGAAGAAGATAATTGGGTTTTTTAAGGGTATTGAAGTAAATGCATATTCGTAATCTGCATTAAAAATGGAACCCAAAATTTTATAAATTTTGGTACACTGGAACTATTTTAAATAAGTACGATTACGGGCCTTATTACGGGTGTCACTACACGGTGATAAGGAAGTGATACTCATAAAAAGAACCGTGATTGCCGTACAAATCAAATGGGAATCACTTCACCGTGACGACAAGTGACAAGTTTTCACCGTGAAGTGATATCCGTAATAAGTACCTACATTTGCAAAAATCACCACCTTAGCGCCTCTCGGTGGCACTTTGCCTGGGAGCGAGCTGTCAGTTTGTTAGTTTAGTGTCAAACATTTAAGTTATTTGAATCGAGATGAGAGGAGAAAAGCAGCGGTAATAAAAATGCTTGCCAAATCGTTTTCTTCGTCCCTCAATCATCGACATCTTCGTCAGCAACATGGAGAACATCTCCCATCCAGTAGCCCACCAAAAGTTAAACCACATTCCGGTGGTGGCCGAGGTGTGCTCCTCCGTTTATCGATTTCATGCTTCCCGTCGGAATTACCATCGGGTAAGCTGGGATCGGTTCCAACAAGTCGTCGACGAAGCCATCGATTTCGGCGCCCTACTGGAGACGACTGATGACATCGGTAGATCTCTGTGCGCCGTCGAGGAGGCGGTATCCCGAGCCCGCGAACAACACGTGCCAGCTTCCAGACAGGTGAGTAATTCTCTGAACCTTGATCAGGATACTAAAAGCCTAATCAGACTCCGTAACGCCATGCATAGGCAGTACCAGAGAACTGGACTGCCTACCTTGAAAACCCATTCCAACCGTCTAACCAAACTTATGAAAGCCAAAATGGTGGAACTCAGAAATGATAATTTTGCCAATAACATCCGTTCCCTCTCAGATTGTGCAAAACCCTTTTAGAAAATAACAAAAGTCCTCAAAACTAAACCGAGGCCTATTCCACCGCTGGTTCCACTGAATTGTCCCGACGGTTCTGTGGTTCACCTGATAACACCTGAAGAGAAGGCTGCCCCGATAGGTCAACATTTCGTCAGCTCCCACAATCTCGAACAAAACATCACCAGCCCTCACGAAGCTGAGGTTGCTGAAAATGTAACCAATCTCCAGCAGGTTCCTAACATCTTTCCCGAGATCACAGCTGACGAACTGTTGGCTTATATCAAAACTTCCAAAAACATGAAGGCCCCAGCTTTCGACAACATCCTGAATCTGGAGCTCAAGCACTTGAGTTCCAGATTCTACAACCATCTGTCTCCGACTTAGCTACTTCCCCTCGTGCTGGAAATTAGCTAAAGTCATCCCCATTCGAAAGCCTAACTACAATGATCACCTGTGTAATGCTGCTGCTAGGAAAGTCAACTGAGCACGATGTCTCTGGAGATACCCAAGTACATCAGTTTGTTCGCTTCGATCAGTTTCATTTCTGACGGAGAAGGTCACCACAAATTTGGTAGGACCCTGAAGGACGCGGACATCGGAGGCTCTCTGAGTAGCTTCACCATCTTTCGGGCGTTCCACTGCAGTCGTTCCGTCAGGTTGACTACAACATTGATCACCTGCAATATTTCTACCACTGTGCAATGGTGGATGCACGCCATCCCGAAAGTACCAGCATGTAAATCTCTTGGATCCCAAATCGTCTTTTTCAGGGCCACTATATTTCCACAGACACTGTCAAAGATTACATTGCACACAAAATCAACTATGTTCAAATCAAAACAAAAATACTAGCCCATCTGGTGGCTGATGGCACAAGCTTCTAAGAAAATTCTATTACAGCGAACCACATTATTTTAATTGATTTCTTCGCCAGTAAGTCGTCTGTCACTTCGTTTGTGGTAATATCAACAATCAATACGAAACTAACGATTTTAAATTGGCTCACTACTTGACTAGCCTATTGGTCCCAAGCAAACGATTAACGTACCCCATTCTAGTCGAAATTCTACTACTACACAATGTTTGTTTTGATTCGCTATGAAAGTTTGACAGATAAAATGAGGGGATAGTGGATTTTCCCATGTTTCGAGGGGTGAATCGTTTAGCTTGGGACCGAAGAGAGTACCAGAGCTGAGCCAAAAAGTTGAGCACGTTATTTCGGGACCTTCTTGTCTTAGAGTTACCTCTATGGTAATATCATCATTCAGAATTGAATGTCACCAAAAAACTTTAAAAAATTACAGGATCAATAATCACTATTTTTCAGCTACACGGTACACAGCAAAAAAAGTTGTTGAATATTACATCGAAACTGCTGCAACCAGGTCAATCCATCGGTTGTGTAATATCACATTGTACGATGTACATCGATTTTGCGAACAAAATTACATCCATTGATGTAATATTGTATCTGCTTTTTTCTATTACATCATTATTTCATACATCAGCTTGAATTATGTTGATCGATATTACATTTTTTTTTTGCTGTGTAGCCGTCCCAAACGATGAAAAAAAAAACACCAGAAAAAACAAAAAACGACCCCTTTCAGAGCAACCATCTGAGAAAAAAAATACCCGGCCACCAATTCAAAAACGGAAAGAGTTAAGATAATGGATTATCGATCAATTAAAAGAACTAAAGGCTCAACATATTTGTTCCGTCCACTAGTGACCCTATGTCAAGCTTCCGTTCGTGCCCCTAGGCACAGACCCTTCTACTTTTTTTAAAATTAAAAAAAAACCAATTCCATGTGAAGCCATAGTCTTCCATATGGCTTCACATGGAAAACGGCGGATTATAGGCAAGAGTTTATTAATAACTTAAGCGAGTTTAAAACACCCACGAGAAGATTGTTCACTGAAATGGTGCAATCAGTATACGAAGATTCGGAAGATACTCTCAGTGATTCAAGTAGCGATTATCAACTGAATATCCCGAACACTCATATACCATCGCGCTTTTGTCAAACTCCATGATGGTAAAAATCAACTAACTTCTCTTACTTTTCACCAACCTCGATCATTATTAAAAGGTAAATATTAATTTTATTCAATTAGCATATTATACTGTCATTACTGTTCATACTATCATTGCAATTAATTAATTTAGGCATATTCAATTGACCTGCATTGGGTTATTATTTTGCAGGCAATGATATGGGAAAAGGGGGACTCAATATTCAGCATGGAGAGTGTATGGGAGCCGTTTGGGGACATGTGGTTCATTTTAGACATTATAGTTTGACGTGATCACCATGATCCACTCACGTTCTGGAATGTGACCCTCATAATATCCCCTTCTGTCTCGCAAAATCAAAATTAAATTATTGAATTGTTCTGTTTTTACGTTTTTATTTTTGCCTTTATTTTTGATCGTGTGATCTCAAATTACAACCAAATTTAATGTTTCAAAAGCTCAATAAAAAAATCATAGAAAAATAAGGTGGTATTTAAAATGCTGTACCTATCCTTTATATTCCGATCAATATCGAAAATCGCGTAAAAACAGAATTGAGTGTACCCAATTTGAAAGAAAACCAAACCCTTAATCGCCCCGCAGGAACTTAACGTTACATAATTTATTTACTCAAAAACCTAACAATCTAACGAACAGCAGAGGAATCATTCTAATCGTAAGCACACACACGCAGCAATCACCGCACCAGTAGTAGGCCTCCTTCCTTACGACTTCAGCGTGGGGGCATTGTCTAGCGAGACGGCCGGTCCGGGTCCAGCACCGGCTTGCAGCATCCGACGTTCCTCCGCCTCTCGGGCCGGTTTGATGATGCTAAAGTAGCGATAAACGCGCTGGCCGATCAGGTAGCTGCCGTACATCGTAAGCCCCAGGCAGGTGTAAACGAAGCCCCGGTGCAGCCGGTCAACGATCAGGCTTCTGGCTTGTTTCTTCATGGTCCGGGCTCGATTTTCGGTCAAATTTGCAATCAGAATGTTACGGGCTCTGGGTGGTTTTCCAAAACTTCAATGTTGTTCCTCGCACTGACTGAATGACAGCTGGTTTATGCTCGGATTTATGCTACTATAGTTTTTAGACGTGCTTGCTGCAGGGTTGTTATGTATCATAAATTGCGCATCGCTGATGTTGTGTAGAGTTTTATTGCACATTAAAATTAAAATTTACTCACAGAAGTACACTCAAAAATATTACTATGCAACAACTGATTAACTTTTATACCCTGGACAGACTATGGCTTATATCCGAGGGGGACGACTCTATCTACGATGTAGAAAAGATTGTGACTGTGAGACTGTGACTAGCTGCGCGCACGCTGAGTAGATAGAAAGAAGATTGATGACGATTCTGAAGATTTGCTGCAAAAAGATGATGCGCGATGCAAGTAGATGCGACAAATGAAAGTAGATTTTTCGAAGATTGATTCGCTAGTGTGAGATTTGTTGAGCATCTAAACTTGAGATTTAGATGTATCGCGCCCCTCGCTTATATCATGTAATATAGGCTGTCTTGCAATGAGCACTCATACATAGGATTTCCAGAAAATACGAAACTAACGATTTTAAATTGGCTCACTACTTGACTAGCCTATTGGTCCCAAGCAATTCGACTAACGTACCCCATTCTAGTATAAATTCCAGTACTACACTATGTTTGTTTTGATTCGCTATGAAAGTTTGACAGATAAAATGGGGTGAATCGATTAGCTTGGGACCGAAGATAGTACCAGAGCTGAGCCAAAAAGTTGAGCTCGTTTCTTCGGCACCTTCTGGTCTTAGAGTTACCTCTATGGTTATACCGTGCCATACCAAGGTTTTTGCCAAAATTGGTGTTTCTAGGGCGTAGAATAGGTCACAAAATTCATGGCTACTATGTCTCACTGTAGAATACAGTGTTGACCAAAATAAAGCTGCTTAATCATGCCATAGGATTATCAATCTCTTAATCAATTAATAAATATTTAGTTCGACGCTTGGCTGAAAAACGTAGCTGCATAGTTGTAGCTGAGAAAATTTCCCATAAGAATAGCGATAGAACTTGTTAACAGTGCAATATAGAAAAAGGCTACAATACAGTGAACAAAAAGTTTGGGTTTTCCATAGTAATTTCCATTTAAAGTTCAAATGGTTTGTGCCAATCATATGCAAAAATATGAAATGGAAAATCATATGCATTCATTTCTTGCATTCATTTACATTCATTTGCCCTTAACTTCTTTCATCAACAGAATGCCGCAAAATAATGTATGGAGCTTTTGTAGGTTTTGTTATTAGCTTCAACTTTTGTTAACAACTCAAATCCATATCTCTTATGCATGACGAACCAGAGCGAACAGAATCCACTACTGTTTTTCAGTGAATGTATTTTACATTCATTGAAAAACAGTAACAAGTTCTGCCCGCTCTAATTCGTGATGCATAAGAGATACAGATTTGAATTATGGGCAAGTTGTAGCTAATAACAAAACCTACTAAAGCTCTATACATCATTTTGCGGAATGCGGTTGATGAAAAAAGTTAGAGGCAAATGAATGTAAATGAATGCATGAAATGAATGTAAATTATTTTCCATGCCTGGTGCCAAGCTCGGTGCCAAGTCAATTTCTTACCAAATAAGTTTAAATTTTGGGAGGCTAATCAGGACCCTATTTGGAACCGTTTGAGCACTGTGGAGCGAACATTTCAAATTTTGCATCAGTCTACTGTACACTGACAATCTGAAACAGTCATCGCCTAAAATCCCGTACAGACTGGCTTATATCATGTAATATAGGCTGTCTTGCAATGAGCACTCATACATCTAGTGTTCACTGGAAATCCTGTGTATGAGTGCTCATTGCAAGACAGCTTATATTACATGATATAGTCTGTACGGGGTATGAAGCAAATCAAGCTATTTTGCCATAGAGGTAACTCTAAGACCAGAAGGTCCCGAAGAAACGAGCTCAACTTTTAACTCAGCTCTGGTACTATCTTCGGTCCCAAGCTAATCGATTCACCCCTCGAAACATACGAAAATCCACTAACCCCTCATTTTATCTGTCAAACTTTCATAGCGAATCAAAACAAACATAGTGTAGTACTGGAATTTATACTAGAATGGGGTACGTTAGTCGATTTGCTTGGGACCAATAGGCTAGTCAAGTAGTGAGCCAATTTAAAATCGTTAGTTTCGTACTGATTGTTGATTTTGCTACGCCTGTTTTGATTTGATTTCAATGGCACCAATTTTGATGACAATATGAACAAGCTATAACATTAATTCCGTGTGTGCTTTCTGCTTGTCACTCCCAGGCTACGCAGCTGAAAAGAAAACGGAAAAGTAATTTTTGAACATTATTCCCTAAAGATAATTTGACAGCTATAGGAGATGTGTTTTGCTTAATTTTGAGATCATAGTGAGGTGTCGTACATTCTTAAAATCAACAATAATTAGTTTTCATGTTGTGAAAATGCATCCAACACCTCACCAAAATTACCTAACGGAATAATTGATCAGATCATTATTCCGCATGGAAAGTGAAATTTAAATCCGAATGCGCCACCTTCATGTCGACCACCATATATAGGGTTACCATATGGTATCCTAAAGGAGGACATGTCCTCCTTTTTCAATAATTTTTCTACTCCTTTTGCCCAAAAATGTCCTCCTTTTTTAATAATTGCATTTTTTCCCGTAACATATTTATAAAATTATTTTCAAGAGTGTTGTTTGCTGAGAATATTTGTTTAATTATGTCGCAACCTCAGCTTGCCATTCAATAGTGGGATCAGGAATATACTACAGCTGCCATCCCCCCTACATTTAGGCTGTGGTTCATTTGGTGAATTTTCACTTAAATTTGACACATGAAATTTTATTAAATAAACCTGCTATTCTACCAGACTTATTTCTGACAGACTAGTGATCAATTTTGACAAACAATTCCTCGAAATTCTAAGAGAATTTCTAACATTATAACACAGACAAACAGACATAACACATTGAATATTTCTCACTGTAAAACATCGTCGCTAAAACATTACCGCCATCTGTTGAATATACTGTGGTGGGTAGTACGCTGAACAGATGGCGGTAGTGTGTAAACGTCAAACGCAAGGGAATTGACTATGCGCGCCACAGGTGGCGGTGCTACCAACTACGATACTTTTAAATCGACCGTTAAATGCTTGTTCGATGAACAACTTGCGAGAGTTATGTCTGTTTGTCTGTGATTATAATTTATTTTCGAAGTAACAAATTTAAGTGAAAATTCATAAAATTTCGATTCGGTTTTCCAATGGACGTATCAGCTTTTGTAAACAATGCATTTGATCGTCGATTTGGCGTAACTGGTAGCTCGCCTACGCATACTAACACTACCATCAAATAGGGAAAAAATCATCTACCATCATGATAGTGGTGTTAGAGCCTTAGACTGTGTTACAATTTAGGAATGTTCATGAAATGTTGAAATTTCGAAAATATATATTAATGTTCGAAAATTCCTCTCGTGTTGTTTGGCCGATTTTCGAGCAGGTTTTTGTCAAAATGGATTGCTTTTCAGTCAAAAATAAGTCTGATGAAATACCAGGGCTATTTGAAAATTTCCCATCTTTAAAATTTAAGTAAAAATTCACCAAATGAAACACAGCAATCCAACATGTGTTTGATTTTGACGCTCTGGTTCTAGGGGATTTTAGGTATTGGTTTAGAGTTTTATCACAGACAAACAGACATAACACATTGAATATTTCTCACGGTAAAACATCGTCGCTAAAACATTATCGCCATCTGTTGAGTACACTGTGGTGGGCACTACGCTGAACAGATGGCGGTAGCAACAATCAATACGAAACTAACGATTTTATATTGGCTCACCACTTTAGTAGCCTATTGGTCCCAAGCAAACGATTAACGTACCCTATTCTAGTTGAAATTCTATTACTACACTATGTTTGTTTTGATTCGCTATGAAAGTTTGACAGATAACATCAGGGGTGTGTGGATTCATGCAGAACATGCAGGGGTGAGTGAAATAGCTTGGGACTGCTTGGGACCGTTGTTCTGGTACTGAGTGAGCCAAAAATAATAATGATTTTCTTCGGGACCCAGTGGTCTTAGAGTTACCTCTATGGCGGTAGTGTGTAAACGTCAAACGCAAGGGAATTGACTATGCGCGCCACAGGTGGCGGTACTACCAACTACGATATTTTTAAATTGTCCGTTAATTGCTTGTTCGATGAACAACTTTCGAGTGCTATGTCTGTTTGTCTGTGGTTTTATGTTGAATCAATGGTAAAATTGACAGATTGCTTAGGTGTTCCTTTTTATGTTGGTTCCAATCAGCGATGGCATGTATCCTGATTTTTGTCCATCATAAAAGTTGGGATGGTTTAAGCACAGACAAACAGACGTAACACTTCATTGTGTATCTTCGTTCAAGCATTTAACGGTTGATTTGAATATTATCAGTTCCGCGAACTACTCGCCGCAGCGCTGGCATCGGATCACTTTGACGTTTCTATACATTTTATAGAACTTTTATGCAATATTGTTTGCGAGCTAGCGAGCAAGCTTGTTTTCCGCGAGAAGCCCGAGAGATGTCGTTACTGAGGTCATATGTTTTGAGATACTATGTTTTCAAGAAAAACTTTTTCAAAGAGTTACGTCTGTTTGTCTGTGGTGTAAGGCTGTAAAGCTGTAGTTTTCATGCAGAACAGCTGGATTAGATCATTTCTAGTATTAAAAATAAATTATGATGGCTATTTTGATGCATTTTTGCAGATGAATTGAATTGATAACGACTACAAGTTATGAACAATCTCAATTGATAAAAATTCATTGTACTCCTTTAATGTCGAGAAAAGGAAACATTGTCCTCCTTTACCTCTAAACCTAAAACGAAATGTCCTTCTTTTCAAGTTTTTGATATGGTATCCCTAACCATATAAGAATGTAATCGATCTTTTCTTTACCGATATCTTTTCAACTGCGTGTACTGGGTCAAGAAAAATGCTAAGGAAAAGTAATTTCTTTA